CATCTTTTGTGTTTTGAACACATTGTCAATGAGCAATTATGGGTGTTTTTTTTCTCTCACTAGTTTAGGAATTTTATTTCATTTTAGCTTGGTTGATTGTTGAACAGGTGTCTGTTGCACAATGACATATTCTTCAACGTAGTATAAAATATGATGGTCAAACTGCTTTTGTTCTTTTACATTTGACTGTTACTTGTTCCTACAGAATCGTGACGGTGTTCCATCAGCGAAAGACTCTGGATTCACAGGTGAGAAACATCCCCTGCTGATATGTCTAGTTGCAACATTGTAACATTGTTGAAACATACTTTCTCATTTTAGGGTCAAGGCTCACAAGTATAGTTTTTATGACAAATTCAGATGTTCTATTGATTTGTGTTAAAGATTTGACATGTTTCACTTCTTTCAGCCATTGCTGATACAGAGAATGAGGAGAATGAGGTATGATTGTCCACACTGTCCACTGTATACCTAGTTATGCCTCAACTAGTCATTATTGAGACAAGATTGAACTTAAAGTTGTGTTTGTTTGTAGCAGTTTGTTATAAAATTATAAATTAAATCAATTTAAGCAATTTTGCTTTTCTGACATTGTTTTCCAGAACTCAGACATCTCCAGTGACAGTAGCTCAATAATTGTTGAGCACGCTTCAAACAATGAGATTGTGGACTTATCTGTACCTGCACTCGTCAGAACAGACAATGTTATTGTAAGTGTAGTGGCCTCTCTTGGCTGAGTGTTCCTGGTTTATTTTACATAGAGGACAAGATATAGGGTACAGTGGTGAAGTCGGCAGCATTGTACCTACCTTTTGCACTTAAGGCTTTTTGAAGTGTAATGTCTGATATAAGAACAAAAGTTTAACTGTGCTCCACAATTCTGAAATCTCTCGCTTTTTAGGTTAATGAGAAAAGGTATGGATATGCAGATGAAGAGGAGGAATCCCTTTCCAGCTCGGATTTCACTGAGGAGGAATATTTCCTCAGTTACACGTCATCTGAAGAAACAGATGGCTCTTCTGCAAAAGTCCCCCATGGCAAGGGTAAGAGAAAACCCCTGCACCTGAAAACCCCTACACCTGACTCTGAATTACAAGTCACAGGAGAATCTTCTTCAGCTAGTACTTCTGCAGTAACTGTCCCAATGTTTGAGAAGAAGAAAGGTGGTGGCAGAATGTACAACAAGAGGTTCTTCTGTGTCTTCTGCTTTAAGTCTGTCAGTAAAATGGCACGTCATTTAGAAGCTAAACATAAAAATGAACCAGAGGTTCAACGGACAAAACAAAACAACTGAATTACTTTACATTTCCTTAGATATTTTTTATGTGGAAGTTAATATCGGCTACACATCACTCATTCTGCTTGCTTTGTGTTGTTTTATACATGTAAGTATTTATTAATGTGTTCATAATCTAATAATCCACTAATGATTTGTGTTCCTCAGAGAAAATAGCTACAGACAGTGAGCTATCTGATTCTGATGATGAAATGACTTTGAATTCCACAAATGTGCAACTGCCCTCAGCTGTGTCCTTATCCCCATCAGCACCACCTTCAGGTACTAATTAAAGTATAGAAAGTTTTTTGTGCTATTCCATTGCAATGATTTCAAACGGAAAAGGGCTAATTTACACATTTTAACCAATGATTTTGTTTATAAATCAGAATTGAAGACAATCTCCAGCATTGACCTGGGACAAAATGATGCTCATCCATCAAGAGGTAAAAACATTCTAGATAAGACAAGATAATCAACATAAAAGGATTATTGTGCCTTTTGTCCTGCTCGTGTGTTGCTCTCATTCTGTTATGTTAATGCAGCAGCACACTAGAGTGGTGCTCTTTGCCCTGCCCCCCACCATAAACATTAGTTTTCATTTTCAGCACGTTTTAAGATAGAGGAGGGAGCAGCAGTTTAAGTTGAACATAAACTATTACTATCTATGTTTGTTAAGATTTGCAGTTGTTTGTTCAGAATACACTTTTTTGATATTTAAGTTATTTGCATT